CTAGCCCTTGTTCCCCGTTATGATAATTTGCTCCTTCGCTAGGTAAGACAAGGGTCTGTTGGATTTTAAGGTAATGTGAATTCACCTTACTTCTGTGTTTTCATGCTCAAGCCTGGCGCCTTGTTCGAATGAATTTGCCGTTACCATTGTTAACGCGGGTACATCAAATTGGAGCGCTGCCATTTCAGTTCCTTTGAGATGTTTCGCAGGAGAAAACAGGGGGATGGCGGATGAGCTGATGGCCCGGGTCCTTCCACAAACTCTCTCCGACTCTCAGTTGGCCGTTCGCCTGCTTTCGCAGGGAGGTTCCAACAGCATAGTGGATGTAGGTGACCAAGGATTGAGGATGCGCGAATGAAAGCACTTGTATCACAGGACATTAACGTGGCACTTTGTGTCCAGCAACAGCTTGACTCATAATAATGAGCCGATATTAGTCAATTACGTGAGCTTACTAAGTACGCGAATCACACCTTGGCAAATTGCCTGACTCTTTGAATGTTTTGGCCACGGCATTGCAGCGGTCCTGAGGTCAAACCTTTCCGAAGTCTTCACTCATCCTCATCTGATACATCGCGTCGGAGTGCTTTATATTTTCCTGCATCGCAGTGACGCTTTGTCATTATCTAGCGTCACGGAACTGGATTGGGCTCATATTCCTTCTGTGTTGGAGCGTCGCCACGACTTTGTCACTCTTGCGTAAGAAACCCATAATCTGCACGGATAATCGCATGAGTCAGCATAAACAAGAATTGCCTAAGTATTGGACTCCTTAACATTGAGGCGTGGAGGGCGTGATGTCTGTTGCAGGTAATAAGCAAATTTGCCACCAACGGTGCATGTTCAGAGGACAGCTCAAGCGCGTTTTGGTCCCTTGTGCCGTCTGAATCGAGTCCCCAGCTACAGGATGGGCAAAGCGGCATAAGGGGACTTGCATCAGGCCAGGGAGACCTCCTCGTTTTCATGGCCAATCTCACACAGGCGCTGTCCAACCTGGGCATTATTCTTGGTGGGGAACTGTAAACGGCAAACCGTATCACATATGTGTGATACGCATGACGGCCTGACGTGATATATACACATCAAAAGCCACACATGTTTGAAATTGTTGGTCGCTATGCGCGGCTTTTTAGTATTTTCTTATGTATATAGGCTTTAAACATCTAGCGCGGACTGCGCCTGTAACGCTCTGTACTTATATTTCTGCGTATGGTAACATTGGTTGCATCTGCGAAGGCTCCTTGCACACAGCCTTGAAGTGAATAAATTAATGGTGCCACTCTGGTGATTACACTTTCTTAATTGTGTACATAGGATATGCGTAAATATTGGCGCCCAAACTTGTCACCCAAGCAATCAAATTTTCAATCAAACTACTCAAAAGGCAGAGTTTCGAAGAACTTCAAGTTTGATAAATTCACACAATCCAAATCATCACGAATACACGAACCCCTCAATCCAATCGCTTCCCAAGTTGCGGAATCTCGAGATGCGTCTGCACAGGAACCCCCGAGAAGACTTCATTCTCCCTGTTCCTGGAGCCTGCCCTGACGCCCTCATTTGAGGACGAAGACGAGGAGGAGGACTCGGCAGACGGTCAGGACCAGCCCAAAGAGGCGCAGCCCCTGTACATGGTCATGGGAAATTGCTCGTCGTTGAGCCCCTCTCAGCTCAGGGGGCTGGGGAGGATGAGCTGCATCGTGCAATTGATGCTGGGCAGACCGCTGGAGTGCGCAAGCACGTCGCCAGTGTGGTGAGCTCCTCAAAGTTCGAAATGGCAGCGGCGTGCAACATAGAACGTGTCATGGTTTGGAGCAAGAAGCGGTACAAGGATACATTGCTGCACGCCTGTTTGGACATTAACAGATATGTTACCGTGTATGACGCCTGTCTGATGGTGTACATGCCGTGGATTTGATGCATCCATATCACGGATACGAAATTAGCAAATGCACGGACACTTGACACGTCGATGACACCTTACGGGATAGTTTAATGCAGAATTATACCATGCTGGTAGATTGCCACTTGGCGACCAAATTGTTTCCATCAGATGATTATTGTGTCGATTCGCCTAGGGACCGCACTCTGTCGATTTCGGTACTCTTAATGTCAATTTGACGCTAGAGAAGGAGGTGGCGACGGGGGTGAGATGGGTTGGGTTGATGGTTGATGGGGAGAGGGAGGGCAAACTTTTGAAACGCACGTTTACGCAATTGTGGAAAACGACATCGGAATCGTGTCCTCGAATTCGGGCATCGATTGACGGCACCCGAAAGCATCAGTTTCTATGGGGCGTAACGATGGGACGCATTATATTTTTCCATTCGCAATATACGTAATATGCGCAAAATGCTCTACATGTGGCGTGTTTGGCAGTCGACTGATCTAACGCACATGCAATGGGAATTTCATAAGCGAACGCGACTTTGAATTGCTTGCCTCACTGCGACTTGAGAACGGCACTTTTGTGTGTGTGTGGGCCTGCTCAAGCATGTGCGACTCACATTTTGCGCATGTCGCAACGGCCTGTTTTGAAGGGGAGGTATAATTTGAGACAGCCGCAACGAGTATCCTTCGGCTCAATATTCCAGAGATCTTTCACAATGCACGTTAAATTTCACGAGGTGAGGCAGATTGGCACTCTGTGAAAGGGATGGTCTAATCTATCAATGCCATCATGGAAGCTTTACCGAGTTATTGCAAGTCTCTCAAATTGTTTTCGTTCCAGCTGTTTATAATATTGAGCATAACATTCAGTGCAGTACTGATAGCCAAACAACATTTGTCCCGAAAAACGATTGAACAATGTGACCTACATGCATCCAATGAACATTACATGTATTGAAACCTGGGGTGTTTCTTCAAGCGATCTACGCAGTGTGACGCATCCTGCCGAGTCATATGTGTTTCCCTTGGTAATTTAAATTGCAGGAAAGACGTGCCCGAAGAAATAGACGACGAGTTGTACTGCGGGTGGAAAGACTCGGGCTGTGTTGTACGGGATGGAGTGATTCGACGGGGTTTCAACCGCATGATGGTAATTTAATGAACATATGTTAATTTAGTACGTATTGACTGAACGAGCAATCAACGTCATAGTTTGGAAATTTTGAGGCTGCTGCGCTGCAATTCAATGCCTTTACCCTATTGTGGAAGAGCAGCAACCAAAAATACCATATTGAAAAGCTGAATTTCTAAATCGTATTCTGAATCGTATCATCCCATCATCCCATCATCCCATCATCCCATCATCCCATCATCCCATCATCCCATCATCCCATCATCCCATCATGTGGTTGTTCTCTGAAAATTTTATGATTTCAAAGAATCTGTCACGGACCAGGAATGCAAATGCCTGGCGCATTGGCTCGCATTCAGAGTGGAAACCTTCATGTTCAGCACAAGTGTTTACATAAAGAACATGTACACACATACAGAAACAAATAGTTGCTGCCAGCGCCGACAGGGCCACCAATTCACTAAACATTCTGGATACGTGCACAATCAAGTGACCAATACCGGTGGCAGCAGGGAAAGGAAGTCTGCAATGTTCCACGTGGTACTTCAATTGTAGTTGAAATAAGGTTTGAGTCTATCATCCACCAAACTTTCCACAAGCAAGTTGCACAAAGCTGCAACATGCATATAAATTACCCTGATAAAGTCGATACTCGAGAAAATCTGGTAAAGAATATTTCAATGATTAAAGAGTCAAAAGGCAAATATGAGAAAGGAAATGGTGTTTAGGAGAAGGAATATGACACAATCGCTGGGAATTTTGAATGCACAAATTTTGAAAGTGCTGATTACTGAACATCGATTGAGTAGTTGATGCAAAAACTCAGTTGCTGTTTGGAATGTAAATCAAATATGATGTAAATAATGAATTGAACATTGGCGGACGGATCCTGTGTTGCGAAACCAGGATATCACTTGCAGCAGAAATATTCTTACCTGGATTTGTGAAACCCGGGCAAGCAATATATCCTAAATATATAGTAGATCTGAAGATACTTCTGTGATACTGGTATTACATTTTCTGCACTGATCATCCACGGCACATTGCGTGATAAAATAACAGCATGTGATTCCGTATTTGCATCGTATTATCTCGTCCAAATCTTTGGCTGCAATGCAGGCGCGTTCGCCACTCCAGGAATTCACGAGCGCTCTATTCGATTGGAAGGCCACCACATCGCGTCATTTGTCGGTGAACATTCGGGTAAATGACAGTCGCATAACGGATTCCGGCGTAGGAGCTCCCCCGGAAATACAGAGGTGGAATCAACCAATGAACATGGCCACCAACGCTTTTCTGAGGTACAAGATGCAAGTAGGTAAACTGGTGCCCAACATTTTTCCAGCATGGGATTCAAGTGGTTCGCATGAGCATGACATATATCATGTAATGCATCACATTTTATAAGTAGAAATCTAGACAGAAGGACCAAATTGTGACGGCGGCGGCACGCGGGGTTGGGGTGGTGTGGCCGGGGGAAATTGGTGCTGTCGGTGCATCAGCAAAACTACGAAATATCCCAGATGCGCCGTTCTCCAAACTGGGTCCCGAACATTTGCAGTAATCTTCCAACGTTGGCGGATATTGCCACTTCTGTGGATTTTAAGACAACAATTGATGCTTTCTGGGGTAGCTATTTGAGCTGCTGGCCATAGGAACCGTACTCGATCAGTGGCGGAGTGTGAACTTGGAGTAGAAGTGACCAAGCGCCTTTTCATACCGCTTATCATTAAATTTCTAAACAAGATACTTGGGCTGAGGTATTCGGCTTGAGGGTCGCTCAAAGTACTTGAATCCGGACAGCTTCGCCTTTTCGGTAAGAAAATCTAGTGAACAAAGCGCTTGTGCCCAAACAAGAATGCCACAAGGAACTGGGGCAGAACCATCAGGCAAAACGTATTTCAGATGGGCAGCAAATACGTATGTTCGATTTCTTCAGGACAATGGCTATGGAGTGAGGCTGCATGGTGTAAAGGGAATGCCGAAAACGGAGACGCGCCTGAACATCGACTTCTCTTCGCTTCTCGGGCCCCTGTTCTTCATGTGGCTCCTCCACCTTTTGCTTCCGGTAACACAACCTTCTTTGATTGCTCCACGTAACCGCTTGTTTGCAGACAGCCTTCAGCATTTCCTAAATATTTCAGTGTAGCCGCGAGGTCCATGCAGGCATTTAACTATTGAATTCAGCATTAAATTCAAGTAAACGTCAAAGATGTAGCTGAAACCTACCCAAGAAGCATTCAAGTACAGGAGGTCGTTTGTTTATGAGCTTAGGATTCCCTACAAGTATTCTTCAATACTATAAGGTGATTTGGTTCACCGAGTTATTGGCGGAACAAAGAGCTTGTTATGGCAAGAAAACCCAAACTTAAGTGAATTCATCTTGTATTTGATGACGAATACGTGAATATTCGGTCATGATCATGCCGCATTGAGGTGCTGGTTCTCCCGCACATATAATTGAACTTGCCTTGTGCTTCGCAGAACCGACAGGCACTATCATCGCGGCAAAGCGCTTGAACACCGTTTTGCGAAAAGCAGTGCAGTTAGATTACAGTACATCAATGCGCAAATTTACCCGAAGCGGTGTTTTTGTACTTAAGCCGCACGCGCACCGCAGGTGAACGTCCACGCATTGATGTACGAGAAAGAAAACCATCTGAGGATAATGATGAAGATGCAAGGGCTGCACGACCGAGTTTTCTACGTTGTGACGTACTTCTGGCAGCTCCTTGTGTACGTCGCCTTCGTTGCCGTGTTCGCCGCCGGTGGATCGGCGATAGGACTGACAGCCTTCACCAAGAACTCATGGACTGTTCAGGTGCGAGAGCTGCTCGAAGCTACTGTGTCCGCCACAAAGGCAACTGTATCAGTGTCAGCTAGGGCGTACACCAGTACAACGCCCGCCATGCCTGGCACCCATGGACGCGCAACTGGACGCCCGTGCATGGCGTGCATATGGGCATTCGCGGTCCATGTATCCGTGAACGGTCCTGACCTTGAACAGACATGCCCAAGTTAGCCTCCGATTAATTCGGTGCTTCCCACTTGTCAACAATATGTGACAGGCACAAGCCCTCTCGCCTTGCAGGTAGGGCAAGCATCGTGCAACAAGCCCTCCTCCATTCCCCCATGCACCTGGTTCAGCCCACGAGTCCGATTAAAAGAGGCACATGAAATTCATATCGGCGCCGACATGCACCGGCGTGCACGTCGTTTTAGTCACAGTTCGACAAGCGAAACCCTGTTGATAAGTGATTACATGGCATGTTGAGATAGGAGCTGATGGAAAACACGGCCTAAGAGAATTAACATGTATTAACTGGAGTCGCAAATGCGCAATTATGGCACCAAGCATTGCGGCATCACGCTTCATGATAAAGCAGGCATGTAGATGTCTTCCTGCCGACTGCATTGCCTTCTGTGATTTGACGGATAATTTCCCGTTGGAAAGTCAATTAATGCCTGTTGAAATTTCGTGTGTGCTTCCACTTGCGAACTCGAGCAGCGCACGCATGCTGGATGTTCCAGACACGCAACGGCCTTGCGATCGCTTCTTCTACAACTGCCGCTGGAGCATCCTGGTGCACTGGCCCACGAATTGCTGAACAGGCACTGACATCAGCGACTGCATGTTGCCGTTTGTTAGGCGGTGTTCTACTTTATGTGGGGCAACGTCATGATAGCCCTCGGCTTTTGGATTGCGTCCCTCTTCCGCACAAGCAAGGCAGCGGTGCACAGCACCACGGTCTGGGTCATCGGAACGGGGCTCGTGGCGAGCCTCATGGTCAGTCAGTTCGTGACGAGGGGCCCGGAATGGCTGGCGTACGCCATGCAACTCGTGCCATCGTTTGGGCTGTACCGCGGCCTGTACGAGCTTGGGCAGTACGCTTTCCTGGCGTCCAGCAACCACGGAGAGGGCCTGACGTGGTCCAAGCTGGGTGATGAAGGAAACGGAATGAAGTGGGTTCTGGGCGTGTTCGCGCTGCAGTGGGCGTGGCTCATGTTCTGGGCCTGGTACAACGACCAGGTGCGGCCGCCATTGGCGGACTCTGTGCCTGACAAGTTCCTTCCACCAACGGAACCGAGGAGATGCTGTACTTGAGCCCCATATTTGCCTAGTTCCACTCCGATCACGTTTGAGGCAGCGATTTTTATTGAGATATAAGATTAATGGGCGAGCCGTCATTGCCTGCCAGTGGTTGCAGTGGCAATCGCCGACATGGGTAAGGCTGTGCGCCTTGTTTTGAATGTATACATTCTTGTTGTGCACCCTGGATCACGAAGAATACCCCCCCCCCCCTGCGTTCCACATCAGAGCTGACGTTAGGAATGCGGGGGGCGCTATCTTGCGTGCCCCCGCGCTGTCTTCCGTGCCCCCCGCGTTCCGCATCAGGTCGCTGACTCAGTAGCGCCCCCCCGCGTTATCATGCCCTTGTATCGGCAGCAAAGCGTGCCGGCGCCCCACCAACTTAGCGCATTACGTAAGGCGCCATTGACGGCAGCAACCAAAACCGGGGCCAAAAAGTTGAAGGGACGCCCCAGGTCGCTGCATTATGCAGCGCTACAAGCGCTGCCAGATTGATTGGCAAAGGGAGCCGACGTTTGGCCAATGTAGTATATTACACAGTATTACAGAAGATTACATAAGGCGCCAATCACAGCGCCAACCAATAACAGCTATTGGGACGTCGCAATGCACTAGAGACAGCCTGGAGATGCCGATGACCTTGGTGTGAGTGATGGCAGTATGAAGCTAGACACTGAGCATGTTGAGGACATGGTGTTTGATTGAAGAGGAATGTCATGGCAATGTTTAATTTGAGTGACTTTGTCAACATTGGGGTAGTAGCATATGCAATGAGATATAATATTACACATTCTCGAAAGTGTGAAAATGCTTTTGCATTGTGGTTGTACGTGATGTTCAAGGGAACAGTGCCCCCCCGCGCTACCTTGCGTACGCCTGCGCTCCAGACATGTTCGGAAAACGCCGGGGGCGCTATATTAAGGCCCCAGCACTATCCAATACCCCTTGCGCTACCCTCCATGATCTGCGGTGTATTAGACATCATTTGTGGAGTCTTACACCTCAGTTTCTGAGGCCATACTTGGTTAATTTTTCTTACTGCGAAGAATCGCTGAAGGAAGCCACAAAACAGGAGTAGAACACTCGACACATGATTATCATATCTTCTACTTTTTCCGTCCGGAAGTAAATGAAACATTTTGTTGACTGACCGCATTCTTATCATTTGATTTTTATTTTCCCTCAAAATTGGACCAGAGTATCTACCATGTGTTTAGTCAATGCTATCAAAAATTCATATGCAGAAAAAATATATGCAGGCATATGGCAGTACTTTGAAGGCAAACGACTCAGCACCAGAATTTGAACATTCGCAGACAGTCCTCCTCACCAAAACCTGGCCCCCCGGAACCAGTAAGGCCCGGCGCACGAGTGACGCCCCCTCCAGTGGTATTCACAGTAACGGAAAGGGGGAGTTGCCTCGGGGCTCGGGCTCTAGCTGAAAGGTCGACAGCCTTTGCAACGCACCATCGACAGAAACTTCGCCTTGGTCTGCGCACGGCCATCAACGTGTGCTCGAAATCCCCGCCAGCTTCCGCGGCAGCACAACAAGATGCCTGGGATCCCGCACTGCCTAGAGGTCTCCTGGCTAGCCGCGGGGTATTTGCAACATAAGCTCTGTGTTCAGCACAGATCTCTGATTAAGTGCCTGTCTAGTGCAAGCAACCCCTCTTTCCAAACAGGCGTAGACCCGCCAAACATGACAATAGAGGGTTTGGATGCTCTACCGGAGCCTCCACCTGTCGATATGGTGGCGCTCTTGCATCTCGTGATGGCATGGGCGAAGCTCCGTTGCACCGGCGCCCTTGAAAGCGGTGTGAATGGCGTGCAAAGCGTTGCTCGTGCCACGTGCCCACCACAGCCAGTGTCAACGATGTTCTGGCTGCCGCGCAGTGAGGGCACGATCACATTCCCCCAAACTTTCCGTGGTGTTCTCAGCACCATGGCGACCTTGCCCATGGCGGCGCCCCTTTCTGGAAACGCCGTGATTGTGAAGCTCGCCAGTTTCTGTGTCTCCGATCCGGAGCGGCAGTCCACATTCAGCCATCAAAACCACTATGGCCATCAAAGATCGAGCGGTACAGAACCCGGTTTCGTGGTCTCACCCCTTTGGGAGGAACGGTTTCGACCTGCTGCCAGGACGGCAGCAACAGATATCTATTCTGGGCTGCACACCGTCATTCGCAAGGCGATTTGGCCAAGGACCCGTTTTGGGGGGCAGTTCGGCCGGACTACGAGAAGCCTCGACTTTTTGGCCTGGATCACAAGGGTTCAGAGTACTGCCTTGTGACCGGTACTTATCCATTGTCTACAAAAATTGGCCAGTACATATCAAATGTATAGGAAGTTTCTTGGTAGAGTTTTAAAGGAAAAATGACATGTTGTGATACAAGTGTAAGATCTTAAACAAATTGTTTCATTTATATACAGATGGAGGGAGTAACAGAAAACGTTGAATTAAACCTTAGTTTTTTGCCTTAAGACTGGTTTGTAGGAAGTGGCAAACAGAGCCGCGATTCATTTCATTGTGTTTCAAGGAAATTTAGGGATAGGTCTCAAGAGATAAGTAAATTTGTTGTTCCTCGGAAAATCTCCGTTTGAAAAAATTTTCTTGCCATAAAATGCTTCCAGATTCATATATTCACTTGGCCGTTTCTGGCACAGTCAATCTTTAGAAGTTAATTTACATGCATCAGGAACACAATTTGAATCAAATAGCCTACTTTTTGAGTCAATATTTTGTCGATAAAACTGTAGAGCGCCTTCCAAATATTTTACTCAATCGACATGTGTTGGCTATCCAGGTACTAGACCGCGGCACGGGCATACGAAGACACCCGCTGTTCCTCTTCAGATGTTTGTCCAGAAGAGGCCAAAGAAGTGCCAGAGACGAGCCTGCAGATGTGCAAGCGACGTGCGGACATCTGGAAACTATTGGTGGGGCTCAAATATTCGGAATTGGCCGAATGCAGCAGAAAAGAACTGTTGCCAATACGATGAGTCGATACATTGCCTTTGCAAAGCAAGGTGCATTGCCCATTTGCGATTTGCGCAATCATTGACCCCAGAAAACGAAATCTTGAGGTTGAAGCCTTGAACAATGTAAATGGAAGCCACACCGAAGGGGATGAAATCAGATATGGCTAGGTGGATGGAGCGCCGTGAACTCATAGTCGCCATTTGTATCCCAGCTCTATGCTTGCATCCCGAATGCCCAAACAGTGTCAAGGAGCTGCCTTCGTTTCCTGCTCCGTCCTGGATACAAATACGCCAATTCCACGTGCATCCGTACGGCGTACGATCGGCTCCACGTACGATGGATAGTGTTGGGCAGTCTCAACGTCGTTGTGATTGTGCGTATATTATCGACAGATATGACCCCCCTATGATGATATTCTTTGTCCATGCATGTACCGTCACAACTTAGATTGAATATTTTCAAAATTTATTGAAGTATTGTACACACACAGTTCTAGGTTTTCCAAAACGTCATTCTGAGCTACTTATTAACATTTTTGCAAAACGCGCCTCCTCTGTCCAAGATTGATTGTCATCTACGATTTGGGGGCATTACTTCTCCATCGTACCTACATTATTTTTCAATAAAATTCCACCTAATACTGGGCTTGTAAATTTGGAGCATACTATCAAAATTTCACGTGAAATACATTAAGTACTGAGTAATTGGACGTACATTGTGTCAAGGGTATTTTTACCTAGTAAACTTCGATATTTAGGATTACAAATGATCAAATCTTACTTTTTGCCTAGCGCTCAAAAGTGGTCATGTCTCACTTCTTCTTCTTGGAAATTCGTAGCTGAGGTTTTTGAAACCCAGAATTTCCGATTTTGAAATTGCTTTGCAGTTTTGAGGCCATCCTTGTAACGAACTTTGCTTTTTAAATAGACGACAAGTAATCCTGGGCAGAGGAAGTACATTGCAATCTAATGGGGAGTTCTAATTGGGAACGCGCACCTATCGAGAGCGATCAATGCTTTCCCTGGATGCGTAATGCTTGATCAGGCAGAAGTTCTTATTTTGCGCTTTGATTCCAAGGGAAAGTAGAGAAGGTCGCGAAGGACAATGGATCCCCAAGATCGATTAGCAGCGGTGGGCTGAAGCGCAGGACGTCTGGAGGACATTCCCCGCAGAAAAGCAAAAGAACAGTGGTGTCAAAGGGATCCACGTACAGCTACACTGGGTCTTCCGGGTAAGAACACACCGTCACTTCTCTCCTGGCGGGCACACTGCCTGAAGTTTCAAAAAAAACCGTGGTTCAATTGGGCAAAAAGCAAGTCAGAAGAATGCATTTAAATGCGATTGAATTTCCAATTCATTCTGGAACACGCTTTGCGATAAATGAATCTGGTGAATGCACGGCGGCCGACGCCACATATCCCTCGAACTCAACAACTGTCGCTGTCGTTAGTGCCACGTTCGCGCAGCGCAACGGCATGTATTCCGGGGTGGCAGTGGGATCATGGACTATCAGAGACACCGACGTTAGGCATTGGGTGCTGAAAGCAACGCAGTTATTCATCGATTTGCCATTCTGCACAGCGATACCGCGTCCATGGTACCGCTTCATTCAGACTCCTTGATACCTTCATACAGCAACCACCAAGGAGTTTTGGTAAGTTTTGTACCTACAAGCCGCAAGCACGCAGTCTCTCTCGCTATCCACTATGTTTTTGAGGTGCCCTTGTCCAGAGGGGTGGTACAGAAACCACAATTGAAACCGCTCTGAAATTTTCAGAAGGCCATTCCCAGCATATCGTGGGAGCCACGACTCCACCGTATCTGATGAGACGACCTTGCACTGCACAGAAGCACGAATTCCAGACTGCGGGTGGTTGGAGGCGTCCCACTTGATGGCGCCGATGGCGAATCTTCGGGTAGCTATTGGGGGTCAATGGGCTCTCCGATCACCTCTCCGCCTTCAGTTGCAGCGGCCACATTCTTTGCGGAGGAAGAGCGAGAACAGCCAAGTTCGCCTACCATCAAGGAAGACCCAGAAGAGCAGGTAACGCGAGGTTTGACACCAGAGACTCCAAAACATATATCAAATCGATTGGTATCGATGCAATGTGATTCATCATGGCACGCGATGAATTCAGTATCTTGAGCACAATCAGGCTGTATCACAGCACCGATATGATGCTATCAGATGGTTAGTATCACTGTTATTTTACTGACGTATGATAGTATCATATTATCAATTCTCTGAGTCTCCTATGCATAATTCCATTGCCTCAGCATCAGCACGACTTAAAGCAATTCATTTGCCTGCAACACGGATTAGCTAGTAATGCACAGTTGCTGAAGGTATTATGAAGAAACACGTGAAAATTTATATTTGGATGCTTTATTTATGGGGGAGCGGTAACAAATGTCGAAGAAAGTGTGACAAAGAATAGTCACATGCGGTAGCAAACATGCTTAAATCCGCATGTCAAAAGGAAATATTCCCTCTCCCAGGGCGAGGTAGTGAGAAGGGATGGGTTGTTGCACAAAGGGGACTTGAGGAGGGGGGCAGTGCAAGTTTCGTATCGACTGTTTTTTCTGGGCCTCGAGAAATAGTTAATTCTCCTCTGAAAAACAGGACAGCGGCAAAGAAGTTGGCCCTATAGATTTTAATCACATCGATTTCGCTGGTGGAAACAGCAGAACTGCCAAATGCGAGGCGACATGTACAGACGATTCCGAGTTCTGTCCATTACTTCAGGTGACAAAGCGCAGGACTCTCAGCGTTCCCAGGGGCTTGCCGTTTGCCGATGGCGAAGCCGTGGACGTAGCTGCAGAGCGGTGCGATGTTGAAAGATTTTGGGAGCAACAGAGTCTCGGCAAGAAATCGGACGAGCTGGAGGCCGTTGTGCTGATGAGGAACCTTCGAAAAGTGTTCCCGGGCCCAGGGAGGGGCCAGAAGAAAGTTGCTGTGGACCGTCTATCGCTTCACATCAATCAGCGCCAATGCTTCGGACTGCTCGGGCCAAATGGTGCTGGAAAGACGACCACAATACGCATGATGGAAGGCAAGATGTGGAAAGTTTTGACCAGATAGATTCGCTCATCAAAGGATGAGCAAAATTTTCCTAACCCAGTCCGACCACTTTGCTGAATTCACAGCGTGATAATAAATGGGAAGATGATCGTTGCTCCATGCACCTGTTTTGATAACTGACAGCTTCGTAACTTACTGATTCTACCAAGTCATCAGCAAAATAAATGATTATGTGCTTAGAGGAATTTGCGAAAGTTACTATATTATCCTGAAATATCGCGCCTTTGAAAGTGAAGAATACATGAAAATTTACTCGGGCAGCGAATGGCATATCATTGATGCATCAATGATGTATCATACCTTGGTTCAGCCGCTTGGCAGACAGCAATATCGCAACCTTGCCATCCGGCCCAGCGATACGCATAATGCGGATGCGTGCACTGCAGGATTCTCGGAGCCGACGTCCGGATCGGTCATGGTCTCTGGGTACGACACGAGAACCGACATGCGGTCCATCTACTCGATCACCGGCGTGTGCCCCCAGCATGACCTGCTGTGGGGCGACTTGACCGGACGTGAGCACCTGACGTTCTACGGGCGCCTGAAGAACCTGCACGGGGCGGATCTGGAGGACTCCATCGAGTCGCTGCTGAAAACGCTGAATCTCTGGTCAGATGGCGTGGGAGACCGCTTGGTGCATTCCTACAGGTGGGGGCTGTGTCACTGATGCTCGCACACTCGTCCACCATTGCGACGGAGAGTCACCGAGGCGCCCCCTGCATCGACTACCACCCGATGCTGCCCTGACGGCTACTGCTGGTTTGACGTGTCGTTTGTCTTTTTTGGCAACTTTGGTCGATCTTTCTGATCTTGTTGATCGGTGGATCAAGATGGAACAGTACGCAATTAGTACATAGTACGGCACACAATGGCATAGTACTCAATTTTAAAATTGAGGTAAGCGGTGACGGCAATTCCTGCAGTATCCGCGTTCACTATTCCTTGAGGACTTTGTGCGGCTCTATGGTGAATAAACTTCTACTTCCCACATTCCCTTCACTCATGCATTGCTGCATGCACAGCTTTTCATTACTACCGAAGTATTTCTTCTATATACATCAATAGGCATACGGCATTCGGCCGTATCTACAGTTGAAAATGAGGAATTTATCGCTAAACGTATCGCCAGGTACAGTGCAACATTACATGCGACGTAAATATTTCTGTTACTAGACCATAATATACTTTAAATAACGACGGCATTTCATTGGACGTAAAAATGATTTGCACATGTCGAGACTATTTGACATCGTTGGGTATATGGTGTTTGTCACGTTTGGTGGCGCACAAACGCAACAGCTTCTGCGCTGTAGCAGCACATTTGGCCCAAACACCAAGAGATTGGAGTATTAAAAAATCGTGTCTGACTCTCTTGAGAATTTCCAGATACACCTCAATGAGAAATCCGCTCTTCATGAAACTTTTGTTGTATGGGCCATCCAAGTGTAGAGGATGCAGCCGACCTACTTAGATTAGCAAAAGGCTTGCCACAACAATGAAAGTAGGAAATGAGATAAACTATAAGCACAGGTTTTTACCAGCCCTACACCCTCCTGTCCTCCCATCATCACAGAAGAAACAAGATGTAACGCTGCCTGCAGTGGCGGCATGAAGCGGCGGCTGAGCGTGGCAATATCTCTGATCGGCGATCCGCTGGTGGTGTATCTCGATGAACCGAGCACCGGACTGGATCCAGCCTCTCGCAGGCTCCTGTGGGACGTCATCAAAGAAGCCAAACTCAACAAGGCCGTCATCCTGACGACCCACTCGATGGAGGAAGCCGAGGCGCTCTGCGATCGGCTGGGCATATTCGTGCATGGACGCCTGCAGTGCATTGGAAACCCGAAGGTTGGTTTGCACGCGGCGGTGCCCTCGCCAGAGGAGGGCTCTGTAAGTTGCCACAGTGTGTGTCAGTATCCGCCGCAACCGTGGCCATCTGCTTGGAGATGTGTCGGCAGCATTGCGCGCGAGTGCTCCTGGTGTTTTCTTGAAGCCCGTCCAAGCAGAGAAGCTTGCTTATTGGCATGCATTAGCAGCATGTCGCTGTTTGATGCGACCAATCTGATGTATCGTAGAGGGTTACGCGACGCGTACATCAGTGGCAATTAATATGTTGTGTTGGATTTACGAGTACTGAAACTGAAATAAAGCAGACCTTATATAGGGCCAAATTTGAAACCAAATGCCATGCATATGTCCAGATGCAAATGCGAATGTGGACGTCCGTAAATAGATGCGGTTTCCCACCTGTGGCGCTGATGCATGCAGGCTTTTAGCACCAAGGACACATTTGCGGTAGCCCCACACAGTGAATAAGGTCTGGTATGCTCAATACATGCGTCAACTTGAGAGAGATTCATCCGCCCCATTTTGCCGTCGGCAGTGCGTTTGCTGCCTGCCAAAGTATTGGCGCATGCCACGCGATATGGTCATCGCATGTGGCTTTCCCTCCCGAGTCACCGCGTGCCCTGGGCCCCTTGAACACCCCTATCATCCTCGGCATCCCTTCGGCAACAAGGCCAATCGCACACCAGCCTCGTCAGCGACTGGGCTCCTTCTGGCAGGAATTGACCGCCCGTCACGGAGGCTTCCTGCAGTTCTCCATGACGACGCCCTGCTCGCAAACGCAGAGCGCCAGCGAGGCTGTGTACGGCATGTGCCCCTCCGCCCGCCCGGTGTACTCCCTGGGCGGCACACAGAAGTTCGAGCTGCCCGGGGGCGACATCACGCTCGAGGCCGTGTTCGAGCACATGCAGGCCGTGCAGAAGCGCGGGCATCTGAAGGTCCTGGACTGGGGAGTGTCCAACGTAACGCTGGAGGAAGTGTTCATCAAGATCACCAGGGAGGCCGGCGTCAAGATGACTGCCTTCACTTCGTAGGCCGCGGGCGTCCTGGGCAGATGGACGCCCGTGTGGCAGGAAGAGGGACGGGCTTGGTGCAGTGTCTGCAGCCATGGACGCGGATGGCATTGGGGCTGCCGCGCAAGAATGAGCGCTGCTTATCGCGGCGATCACACCTTGGGCAATTGTGCAATGTGCGGGGCAGCTGCTGGGAAGGGCGTCGTAGAACATGTGCATGGCAGGTTGTTGGAAATGCACGGGTCTGTGACTGGGAGACAATCGCGGCAATGGCCGGCGTGCAGCCTTGGATTTGGACAGGGGGCACGTGGAGCTGTTCCGCCACTTGATGTAAAATAAGTTAGCTGGCTCTGCGGGGCGGTCCCGCTATTTCCGCGACTTTACAGATGGCGCTGAGCGCGGCGTAGGCGCAGTCGTGCGGTTGAGCTGCGCACATCACGCACTATTGGCGCAATGCTATGCCTGGGAGCATTTCACGCCAACGGCTAAGTGCCTGTTGCTCCGAAAGGTGATTTTTGCGTCAAGTGCCCAGGACAACGCTGCCTCTTCACTTGGGGGTATTCCGCTTTTGTGCATCGTTGCCCAACAGCACTGGTAGAAGTTTCAGCCAGGTGTTGTGCCTATCGCATAGGGCAACGTTAAGGCGATGCTGTCCCACCTAAGGTCAGTCTGACACTGATCCCATTGCTCCCCAGCGCGAATCCTTTTGTTAATGCCACATCGTCACTAGGAAAAACAGGGCCAAATAACACGTGTTCAAACGTGTACGAAGTTTACGGGTTTGTGTTATTTTTGTGTTCTTGGCGTGTAAAACTATGATAAAATGTGTTTTATGTGTGTTCCCAAAAGTGTTATTTGGCCCTTTTTTTCCTAGTGCGTATCGCCTGCTTGGATAGCCACAGATCGGAGCGCTGTCCTCGCGTCCCATGGCCGATTGGTCTGCCAGGCAATCGGAAGTGGTGTGACCCTCGTCATCGGACGGCATCAGTCGACGGCATGACTCGAGCGTGTGTTGTGGCCATGCAGTGCCTCTCCATGCGATCTCCGCCACCCTCTTGGCTATAAGGATGCTGTAGTTCAAGTTATTTCCATTTGCGCGCGAATTCCAGTTGCAAGCTGAACGCTCGAGAGAGTTTTCGAACGCGTCGGAAGTGGTTTGCGCCTCCTCTTGCTTGTGTCGATGTTGTGGCAGTTGCGAAAGCCACAGCTGTCACAGCTCTGGTTCCCACCGCCTTGGCGTTAATTTGACATTTAGTATGACAAAATCGGCCCAGCATCAGCCTCCACTCCCATCCATGTCCTTGCAGGCTGCGCAGCTCGGTTGACAGGGTCCCCGCTGCCAACCAATGCAGAGGTGAATCAAGTCCCTGACAAGGTTGACAACTGGGGTCCACCTTGTCTTGGCTGCATGTTGGATGGGTTGTGTATAATTGCGTGCCAGCATCGGCAATCCAGCAAAGTGGAAGGCCCTGGAATTGCACCGATTCCGCAGACCATCATGCGACGCGCTACTCATCTGACGTCTCTTGCGCCATTGCGGCCGTCAATGCCGGCGCCAATCCGTCGATGTGAGCATTGGCGAAGGCAAAGAAGGTCCGCAAGTCCACTTTGCGGGCAAGCTCGTCCTTCACGTCATTGTACAACCCATCGAGCCGCTCCACTGCGTTCATCACTGTGTTGCTCTCTGCCTTCGACTGCAGCTTCTGTTCCAGCTCTGTCTTGATCTGTAGGGGGTTCACTCAGGCAACACATCGTGAGGCATACCACAATTCTGGCAGGCACTGACTCAGTTTAAGTGATCAACCAATGTTACATATGGAGGCAATTACTTTTTGTTTTCACGGAGTCCAGGATTTCACAACGGTAGGATCGCTACTGTCATTTGCCACAGGCTTGGTTACATTAGCCTGTGTCCCCTTGGGTCGATGGGAATTGTTAACATGTAGTAATCTATGACAGTTAGTATAAACGTTGAAGTGCGAAGTTGCCTATGAGGACTTTTCCAGCTTCAAGTGTTCAACTTGGCATTGGAGCAATTACTATTGTTACAGTCCTTTCAGCAGTCCGCTGGCAGGATGAGGAAAACTGCTGGGCCGACCAGCCATCTTGTATATCATTCCACTATCTCAAATGGTGGTCATCCCCATAGGGACCACAACCAAAAGCCCACACCCTGGCGTCTGCAGTTTTCAACCACTGATTCGTACATCCAGCCACAAACATTCACACAATCTGACAATAATATCTGGAAAAACTCCGGCACGCTGCACTTGAGGACATTTGGTGGTAAATTTTGTAGCATGGTTTGAGCATTGTTTTGCGAGCCATTGTACCCCCCGGCACCCTACGCCTTGGCTCACGTCCCCGTCATTTTCAGTCTGCGAGGAATGATGACTGATGGAAGCCTTGCGGCAGGTAGCACATTGTGTGGCAGAGCTGCGAATTTGGAGGACAGCCAGGTGTCTGTTTGTGTTTGCTCAGTGTTGAAGCCTTTTGAGAAGCGCCCACTTCTTGCCATGTTGAACTGACGAACAAATTTGGGCAGCAACAATGATCCAGTCCACATTCTTCTGTACCACACAGCTTAGCGATACATGAATGGCGATTTTCCACGTGAGGCAACTGAACGCAACCGGCTGCTGACCTCCACTATGGACGCGGCATTGAATCGATGCCCCAGCGCCTGAATCTTCCTGTTCAGCAACCGAGCCACGTCCTCCAATTCCTCGCGCAGGCGGGCCAGCCCTCCTTGCAGCGACACGACACTCTCTTTGCCGACGGAAGCGCGGAATGTCACGAAGGCCGCTTCTTGTTCGGCTGATCTTTTCTCCAAAGCTTCCAATTTCGTCTGGTGCCGCTCCCACTTCTCATCTTGGGCGCCCTGCAGCCTGTTGGCCTCCTGCTGCAGGCGCACGGTGCTGCACGACTCGCACAGGCCAATCACGCTGTCGAGGGTGGGGCGGCTTGAGAGCTCCTGCATGACGTGCTGCGGGCGTTGCAGCGGCGGGAGGCGGTTAAAACCTTTGATCCATGGGGCGACGGCGGCCCACGCAGGGCAGACGGCATTCTCACAGATGGAGGGTCTCAACACGCGGCTTCCATGCCTGACACCAAGTTTAGGACGAAATGTCGAGGATGGCAAAGGGTCGTGCATACCTTGCATGTGTTGTCAATGGCTACAAACGTGACCATATAATCGACACGTGGGAAGCGGTGTTGCGGCAGGCTGCCTGCCGAGGCCAAAACAGCTGCAAATGAAAACAGTCGAACTGCCCCACCTCCAGCCCTTTGTCTACGTGGATCTTGAGCTCCTTGAAGTTCTGTCCGAGACTGACAATGCCACCCCTCACGTTTGCTGCCAGTTTCTGCGAGTCGTCGAGGCGTTCGAGGAATTTGATCTGCGGCGACAGCAATCACGTTTCACCGGGTGAGGGCAGGCAAAGCCGCAGAATCCGCATGTGCACAGTCAATGTCGCATCGCGGCGGCTGGCCCTAGAAGGACAGAGTCCGCAGCGCATGGCGAGCAGCACTTCAGCGTTCATTGCCCTGCATACGCACTCGTTTCCACTGCATTTGCGTAAGTCAAAGGGGAAGCGATACTGCAAAATTATTAAAAGGCTGGGCATCCAGATTGCCCACATCGTCGCGAGCGGATAAGCGAATTGACCGCGCTTTGCCGTATCATTGTCCAAGTGCAATCATGAAGGAAATGCTTGGAAGAAAACGAAGCGGCCTCAGGTCCACGCAGCACAGCAGCTGCCGAAACAAATGCTGCCATGGCACGACAGTAATAGCGTCCGCCGTAGGGTGAAGGCGTTGCTGAAACAAAAGAGAGTACTGCGGCGTACTGCATTCCACATCAGCTGCTCTCACCGCCCCTGCCAGACCTGCTCTGATTGCGCACTCTTCAAGTTGTCGAGGCCCTCTCGGATGGGCGCAACTGACGTGTCAGTCGCTTCCAGAATGTCCCGCCCTGCTTGCTGGACCATGTCTCTCACTTCCTCAATTGTTGCATGCTGACTGATGGGAAGTGTGCACCCCTGTACCACGTCGCAATGGATGCAACATAGAGATAAGCGCATACTGCCACTCCTCACCGCGCCGTTATGTACTCGTGCAGGACGCTCGATGTGGCACACGTTCGTCGGCATTTGTTACGACAGCAACAAGTTATGAAAACTGGGTAAACGGCAGTCCTTCTAACAAATCTGCACCACCGGCGCCCTGATTCCACCCACAATGGAATGAAATTTGTAACGTCGAATCTCCAACAGCAAGTGTACACAGTCTGTTACTGTTAACCGGTGATTGGAAAGCCGAAAACATCCACTGCCATTCTGTCAATGCCCTGGTGGGCAAATTGGCTTCGAGCCAATTCTCCGCCTCTCCATCCGGTTCGTCCGAACGTGGCGCTGCCCATGCATTAAATTCTACACCAAGCATTGGAGGAGCTACGAGGGCCATTCCTTGCGATGCAATGTCGCATGAGGAACCGGGGGAGCTTAAGCTCAAAGCAATGTGCATGGAACATCGCCAATTGGTCATACTGAATCAGTACCTTCACGAAACGTTGCTACATTTATTCATCGACTGCGGGCATTCCACACTCAGTTCGCCAAATTTTCGGAACGACATTTTCTAGCAGATTTACTCCAACCAATATTCTGCGTACCCCAAGACAGTGCCACCATTCCGCGCAAGTCAGCACCAAACACTGCGCATTGCACCCCTGGTGCCACATGGGGCCCATGTTTGTCGACATTCCCCCCGCGGAATTGACGTTCAAGACGAGCAGATTGTCACTGGCGTTGGCAGTTGAACATTGATGGAGAACAACCACACGTGATGGAAGGGGTGTACGCACGATACAGGAAGCGACGTTCACACGAGACAGCGATCTTTCTACCCAGCGTGGAGCACAAAGAAGGAGTAACTGGACAGATGCAAAGCCATGTGTCAATTTCAAGTCCAGCCAGTTTTAAACAGCTATAAAATGGAAGTTTCAACTCAGAAACAGTTAACGTTTCAGGCTAAAAAGAGCGTTATGCATGCATCTGAGACGCCTGGGGACCAACGAGGGCACTCATGCCGAACGGTGCCTCAAAGTGCAACACCTGCAATCACCAGAGAGTATACACCTGCCGTTCGCCATTCGCTTGCCTCACTTGCGATAGCTCAGTGACCGCAGCAACCTGCTGTTCGAGCTTCATTTTTGTGTATTCTGTCCAGTTGTGGAGTTCCTGTTGTTCCTTTTCGATGATGGCCTCCAGCGCCTTCACGCGGTCTTCCAGGCCTTTGAGAAGGACGCTGGGAAAATCGTGTGCAGGAGGAGCAATTCTCTGGACAAAGCACAGAATAAAGCACCCAGATGATCCAAAAGCCCATTCGTCAAGCTGAATAGCCATGTCGAAATCCATTTTATGTCCACCCGCCACTTGAAGTATCCTGACCCACCATCGAAACATCGGGGGTGGAGAGTGCAAGGAAGGGAGGATCATATTCCTGGGTCATCAAACCCGAAAATTCACCCAATGGCGCAGGTTTCGATTGCGCAATCCCTGGACTGTATTCATCAGTAGCTAGCAAAATTGTGGGATCTGCAGGTGGCATGAAAAGTGAATATTTGTCCACGAATGGATGCTGTGCACACCCACAATATTCATAGGGAATCACAATACTACGATTTCGGTGTATTATACTAACTCTTCATCTACGATGTAAATACACACGGATATTATGAGAAGTGCACACCGACAACACAATGCGCTAACGGTGCTTGAAAGAACACATTGAACCAAATATTTGATGCTGGTCGCTGCTTACGGCTTGATGTTCATGATGCTGCGAGAAGTGCAGACTGCATGGCTTGGCACCCAGCTGCGAGGCTGGAGAGTCTTTCGTGCATAGGCGGCAGACAGGCACCTCCGTTTCGCTGCTTACGAGCTCCTCAAGGCGCTTCATTTGCCTGCGCTGTTCCAGGAGGCTTTCACAAAATTCCTGAATCTTCGCGGCGGCGGCTCTTTGAGCCGTTTCCAGTCTTAGAGTTTCACCTGAGGAATGGCCATTGGCTGCTGGGTTGAGAGTCAAGGAAATGTGCCGTCTGAGCAAAGAAAGTTAACGTTCCTGGCAGGCGGCCCATGTGCATGCAAGGGCAAAAGCCTAGAGCAAGGCTCATGTGCTGCTGTGCTAAGTGACCTTGGGGAACTTGAAATATTTGCAAGTCCAAGTGGTGCGGTCTTGAAGGATTCTATTGTGCTGCAAAGAATTGCTGCAAGCAACATTGGAAGATTGTGTCTTACATCGCACTGCAGCCCCCAAATTGATGTCGAGAGATAGCAGCGCGCCTGGCAGTAAAAATCGCTTGGCAACTGAGACCGGAGATGGATAGCAAGGGGTAACAGATTTGCTGTTATGGAGCAGGACTGTGGCCACACAGCCCAGAGGTCTCTCCTCGCATGACATGTATGCACGCATGCACAGTGTGTGAGAATTTCGGGCAGAAACACACGAACAGGAGCTTGCAGGCTAAAACTACGCAGTGGCAGCATTTGTGTGCATTTGAATTCGTCGTGGGTTATACAAACAGGAAGACGCCCAAACACCCCTCTGTGCTTTACCAAGCCTTTCAGGGTCCACATGGTTTGGTAAATAGAACATAATTTGCAATGCTGGCAATGAACGACAGAGGGCCACAACCTTCACATTGTCAATTGCTCTGGGCATCGCGCACTACGCGCAAATGCGAATGTGAATGAATCTACGTTAAGGATATTGAGCAAAAAGAACACCACCCAATGCACACTATCTAATGCACACATCACTCATTAGCCCAGTGTTCTGTCATGGCCAAGGACCCACTCTCAGCCACATCTCCAAGTGCTGCCCCCAAAGTGTGTTTCAAGAATGCACAGTGCGCTATGTGCGTTCTGCTTGCAAAAGAGCCCAACTTATCAAGAGGGACACAAGTACCTTCACAATGCTTTCTGAGCATGTCTACAGCTTTGCCCAGGCCCTCCATCTGCAGCTTCGTGGACTCCGAATTCTGGTGAACAGCTGCAAGCGATGAAGAGTGACTGGCAATTGCTTGGTGCAGTTCGGCAGTGGAGGAGCGCCCATCAGCCATCTCGTTGCTCATTCTTAGCTCCATGGCCTGCTGGCACAGATTTGCATGGGCATCAAATGCTAAGAAAGCACATTAACTACGCAATTTCGTACTGATCACGTTGCACAGAAAAGGGATTCAAACTTGCAGCCTGGTGCCGGACATTTTGGCATCCACGTTGTATGTTTGCCTTCCAGGAAATTGTAGCCAGAGATCTCGATGCACCGGACAAGGAACCACTCTCACTTGCCGCCGGTAGGTTCTCTGGGGTTATGCAAGACGCACATTGTGGACATGGAATCCCGCTGGATAAGCCAATGACTGTGAGCTTGAATGTGGGGAATGTCTCTATGTTATCTCATTTCATGGTGTATATATACATCAGAATGAATACAGTAGAATGTCTTTTCAGCATCAAATGAATTATGGAACAAAATGGCAATTATGGCCAAATGCAATTGCCTTTCCAGAATGAGGGTCTTGCGCACTTTGAGAGTGCTGCTGTCTGCCTTGTGCGACTCCAGCCTGTCCAACTCGCCAATAATAGCTGACACCGATTTCGTGAGGTCTCCATGGCCTTTGTTCACAACTGCAGCTTCTCTTTCTACAACCTACAAATCATCGCAATTGAGATGAACGCCCGCCAGAGAAGAAACAACGTCCATCGTGATACGGGTGGCACATACACTGACTCGTTTTTTCTGCCAGTCCCAGGAGCATTGGTTGCGTGGCCCATCACTTTATGCCATGCCAACACACGTACAATAATGATTCACATGCTTGTCGTTGTACTTTGCAGCAATAATGCAGTGCTATGTTGCTCGCTGATTGGTACTTCTGAAATATTTGTGGAAGAGTTGCTTCCGGAAGTAGCCATTGGAAGAAGTCGTTCTGGAAGCAACATCCACAACGGCAAGTGGCTCAAAGGTGCCCAGAGGCCACCATAGCACCCCAGTGCAGATAGAATCCCTAGCACGGTCAGCACAGCCGGTCAAGTGTCCCATTGAAATTACTTGCTTGATGCCATCTGTGTAGACTTCAAGAGCCTGAAGATCCACCTTTGTGGCAGCCAGTTGTTTAATCCTCTCCTGCACCTGCTCCACTTGGTTCCCTACGGTCTTTGCATTCTTCACTGTGCAGTCGACATCTGTGGACAATAGCCACATATCACAATGCGCCAACAATTCACTGGTTCAAGTATCTGCCAGGTTCAGGGCTTAAACAGACGGATACTAGACCAGATACCGTATACCAGACAGATACTACTGCATTGGGCAATTCTGTTAACACCTGAACTGAGCACAAGTTGAGCCAAAATTGGAGACTACCATTGGTTTACTTAGCCCCTCACTGAAGCAGAATGCCTTCAGTGGTGTGCCCCCTTAGAGAAAGCAGTTATACATTATCATGTCTGATACAGGGATTTTGTTGCCCCTTATAGTTACACACATGCGAATTGGCGGGACAATCCCTGTTTCCAGGTTTGTACCCAATCGACAATGGGGACAGTGTACATGTACGGCTGTCTCAGGGATCACAATTGGGGCCTCCTGGGGTCCGAATCCACAAGCAAGTGGCCTGAGATTGGATTGCAGCTGCAGCATGGGAGATGTCATGCCATTCCATCTGTGTGCCAACTGTACTGCAAGCATTTGAGCTGCTGCTGACCGTTGAGTTGCTGAATGAAGTATAAGGTGAGACAAAGCGATGGCCCGGTCTAAACTATATTGAAATCTGGAATTTTTTGCATGTTCGGTTTTCTGTGGGCAGTTTAGGATAATGCACTGCGTATGCACACATCGTCTTTCACCGTCTTGCAGATGTTGGATGGGATCTGATAGTGTCCATATACGCAATGAAAGGTGATATATATTGCACACTGTATCAACCCACACTCAGACCATTGCCTGTCTCATTTTCGCTGTGTATAGAGGTGCCTTCATCAAGAAAATTGTACAGCTGGACCTCCGTACCATCGATCCTTTTGCACAGCACTTCTGCCACCTTTGTGAGCTGACTGTTCACTGTCTTCACAGCCTGTGCACAAGTGTTCTCTGTGGACAGCATGAGTGCCTGCTTCACATCGTTCCTCATGTTTGACAGCTGGGTGTCCAGCTTGGCTTCGACCGCTGGCACGTCTTTGGAGCTACTTCGCACTTGCTCCTGCCCAAGGAAGTGCAAAATTTTGCAAAACCAGCAAGCAGACAACACTCCTGTGCATTTCCCTGATACACTCACAGATGCCAACAACATCATACCCCACCACAGAATGAAGTCGATCGGGAAGCTTGTGTGGGTGGTAGATTGCCCTATGCATTGGCTTGCAACTTCAGGAACACTAGCAAAGAATGTTCTTCAACATCGTCTAACAGACACTAAGGAAGCTATCTGTCACATTTTGATCCTTGTAGTAATAGCTGACAGAAGGCAAGATGCAAGGCATGAGAGCCCTTCGAGCATCTGTAATGACACAATGACACTCTCAGAGCTAGAAGATAAACTACAGTGCTGAATGAATCTGCACACCTGAAGACCCTTGAGTTCAGACACTGCACACAACACTGTCCGCTCCAGTTTCTGGATCCTCTTGATCATGCGCCCAACCACTGGACGAACGTCTTCTCCACGGGGTGGATGGGAAGCAACAAGCACAGCAGGGATGTTGGTGTTCTCTTGATGGAACACTTCCCTGTTATCGTCAGCCTAGAAAGGACCCCAAATAATGTCATCAGCAGAGGATCTGATTCTGCACAGCATGTGGCATAGCCCATCTGAGCCCCTGGGCCAAGACTGCATAGCTCAGTGAGGTAGCATTGTGCCAATTGTTGAATTTAATTGTCAGCAAGTGGCACAAAACTGCCTTTGCAACTTCAAGGTGATGGCACGTTTAACCCAATTCAAGTAGTTTGCACCAGAGCAATTCTCTTGCTCAGAAATTCCAGAAAGGAACAACGCTTCGAGTCCCAAGCATGCTCTGAGTAGGTTAATACCACAACACCATTGCTGCTTGGCCACTCCACGTGCAATCCGAATTTTCGAATCACTTTGCTTGGCACAATAGAGAAGGGTCGTAGGCATGTTTGCTCAAAAGGACGCTGCCATCGTGTTTTGAGTCTTCTTCTGCAAGGACCATTGAATGTTGGGTTCTGGCCGGGCTCACTACAAGGCAGAAAATTACCTGCTTATTGCCTGATCGCCAACATTTATGTTCGTTGTCGATAGGGGGCACATAGGCAGCCTGCAGACGGCTGTGGACATCGACACAAAGGGATTGAGAGGCCTGGGAGCCCAAAACCCTGCAGTCTTGTGTGTCGCATTTGCAACTTTCTAGCCTCAAAGCAGAGTCGCTGCCGCTTTCAACCGATAACGAGCACGTATACCGACAAAACGTTCGTTTGTCCCCGTTCGTTCATGAATTTCTCCTCCGCCCATCCAAACGCATACAAACGGTGTCGTCAGAAAACCGCAACAACATTGTATCGCCTCCAAAGACGCCCTCGACGCGATGCCCTGAGGTCGGGCCGCATCCTCGGCGAAACAATCACGGCGATCTGTGCGCCTTGTATTGGATTATTCTGCCAATTTTTAGCACAATAATCCCAGGCTCCATGGTTCCGTCCGGCATTTGCGCTTTCCCCAATAAAGCGTCTTCTCACCTTATCCTGCCCTCCTGCACTCTGAGCTCCCGCACCACGGCCCGCAGCAGGTCTCCCAGCCCGGCGGGAGTGGAGGCTCTACATTGCATGACGGACAGCCGGGAGTCAATTGTCGCCAGCCAATCCACGCGGCCCACGGGCGGCGGGGGACGATCGGCGGAGGCTTGCCAGCGTACACAACGTCCTTGCTGCGCAGAAGCTGCTCGAGCTGTCCCATCTGCGTGTCCGCACGCGACATCGGCCAGAACGGGCGTCCCCGACGTGGCCGCACAAATTCTGGTGCAGCTGTGGGCCCCAGCGGGCCTTGAATTTCGGGCTTTCTGGCAGTTTCTGGCATCGGGGGGAGGATGCTGTGACGCTCTGGCCATTGAGCACTGTGTTTAGCGATGAATGAACGGAGTTGACGCGCAGGGGAGAACAAAACCAGGTTCCACCTCTCCAATGGCCGTCCGCGGCCAGATGATACTAAGTCTGTCGTTCATAAGGTCGCGGCATTGGAGCACAAAGGGAGCTGCAGTACTCCTCGCACATGCATCAGTGCATCGACAAATGCTCACACGAAGTGGTATCCAAGGATCAGAGCCTCTGAATTTCAGCGGCACTAGGTCAAGTGACCCAATCAGTGCCCCAGCCACGCCGCTATCTATGTCTGACATGTGCACGCATGACACCGTCTATGTAGAGGGTTGTATACAACACACCTTTGAACCAAAATCCCATGCAACTATGACGATTGTTCACCAGCGCAGCACTTGAACAGAATTGACAAACTGCGACTTTCGTTGCACTCCCAGGTGGTCGCGACCGTCAAACTTGCCCAACCCTAAAACACTTGAGCTCAGCATCTGCAGCTGCCGACAACTACCTGGGATGGATGCTCCCGTCGGTGTGTTGGCCATGGCTTATCAGCTTCCCAAAAGGTTGAAATTAGGGAAGTCGGAAACAAAGTGAACCCAGGTCGTCTGTACACAACTTTCAGGGAGCATTTGCACTGTTGCCAAATACCTCAAGATCACGGCACACATTGGCACCCCAGGATCGCCATGCTCATTACTATTGTGGGTTGTGGATTGTACCCGGGCTGAGAAAACCGGACTCGGGTGCCCGGGATTTCCAGAACTTGAGTACCCGGGTGTTCTCGGGTAACCCGGGTACACTCGATACCCTGGTTAGCACGACTAACCGGGTTACCGGGTATATACGTGGGTACGGAAACCGGTTTGCCGCACGCTTGGCCGGCGGAGTCCACGACTACGACGCTGCAAACGGTGCAAAGTTTGCGGACGGAGGTGGTGGCGCCAGTCCGTTTCCGCGAACATGGTATTTCGCGGACGGACGGACGGTGCGTCCGCGAAAG